TCTAAATTGGACACAAAGAGTCCCAGCTTTTTCATTTTCGGCTTATAAACATCTTTAATGATGACAACTCACTCTTTAGACTTTCCGGTGGCAGTCCACCTGAAAACTTCATCTGTGCAGTCAGTTTATCAAGAATACGACCCTGCCTTCAAATAGTATTTCTGTCGGAGCCCCTCAGACCCTATGGCAGGCCAATTTGACATTTATTAGAATGACTGAATACATATTCCAGATGTCTCAAATAACATTCCTCCTATCTAAAATAAACATTTCAAATATCTGAAATGTAATTTTTACTAGTAGCCTACAAATGACGTGACGTTATTTTAGATATCTGGAAGTAATTGCCCAATACACATGAATGGGAAATGTGACGTCATTTGGTGCATGTTTTAAGTGGGAATCTGCCGCTGTCAATTGTGCATGTGCAAATAAAGAAGCACAGGAGGCTGTGATTGAAAGCTGTCTGAAAGAGCTGCAGATAAACACACAACAGTTGCCTAATTTTTAAAGCAATTGGCCAGGTTTTTGAGACAGTTTAGTCACATTAAATTGATGCGGATTTACACATCCTTTCCTTTAGGATCCAGGATCATGTAATCCATCTCTGTTTGGAGCTGGTTTAGGAGGAAAAGTCAGATTGGATCAAACTGATCCAGATTCCCACTTTGGGAGATCACCAAATCCAGATTATCTGCAACAGGACAATTGCGGTGCTACACATCAACCAGTAGATGGCAGTATTATGCATCTGTTCTATATTCAGCTGTTTTAAAATGATCTCTGGTTATAGGGGAATATTTTCTCTTTCTGTGTCATCTTTAGCAGTAGACCTATGGTCAAAAGCTAAACAGGCTAACTTAGCCCATTAGTGTGATTGTTGAAAAAAATGAAAATAAAAATTTACAGAGAAATATAGTTTAATATATGCTGCATTGCATGATTGAACTAAAGTGTTTTAGATCAAATTTTAATATTTGATTCAATTTTAGGCCTAAAATTGACATTGAATCCACGCTTCGGGTTTATTTTAATCCAATTTTTTTTTTAAACAAAA